AAACACCAAGATACTACAAAGGTAAGAATTACATGAACCAAAGAAGTCCTTTTACCCTAGAGAGACACTCTCTACAGTATTAACTAAACTTTGATACAAAGGAAAAAGCGTTATCTAGAAAAGATTCCTTTTCCTCTTAGTAGGTTCATTTACATCAAGTGGAAAAAAAAATCACACCTAGTGTTGGCAGACGACAGGGAGACAAATGCGGTAGCACAGAACTAAACTAGATAGAAGGAACTGACATTTTTCCAGGGCACAGAACTGTGCTTTCTCTAAAACAGATCCTTAGTATATCCAGTTATTCTAAAAATGTAATGGTAAGTGGGTATTACAAACTTCTATTTGACATAAACCTCTTTTAGGTGCACCCAAGCTGCAGTGAAATATCACTGCACACTGCAGGACAGCGAGGGCTCAGGTCTGTACACCTCTCCTCTGCTTCCTAACAAAACAGAGAGACACTTATGAGAAACTGAAAGCTAAAGTGATATCACAAAGCAGACAAACTGATCTATTTCCCCCACAAAGAAGCTACACAACTCCAATGCACAGTCTGGCTCCACGGGCTACAAACTTAAGTTTAAACCTTTGATCCAGGGGAAAAATAAAACTAAATCAAAGTGAGTTCAACACTAATGAGCTCTAGGAAAAATAAAACACTCCTAAAGCTACCTTCACCCACAACACGAGCACCCTTCCAATAAAATCAACTAAAAACGCAAACCTCATTGCAACTCTGCATCTTAGATTTTTTCTAAAAACATTTTAAAAATTATTTTCCTTAAGTAAGGGTTTTAGTTTTTTGGTTTTTTTTTACTTATCCAAGACAGTTTGGATATTTAATGGATTGATTCATCTTCTCTTAATAAGAGCAATAAAACACAGCTCTAAGGTGACAACTTTGTCAGCAAACCTGAAAGTACTTCCCAAAAAGAAGGCAGTGCGCTAAAAACACTTATTTAAAATCACGTAACAAAGTAACAGCTATGCCAGAACATCATCCAGTGCTGCTCCATCTTTCATCTCCTTCCCCTCCCACTACACACATCACACTTCATGGCACACAAATGTCTTGTTTCAGGCACTTCACCAGATATCGTCAATACACTGCTTCCATTCCTTTTTCACAAGCAGTTATTAGAGCATTTAAGAAATGCACTTAATGCCAAACTAAGTTAAATGTTTTCAAGTTTGTGACAGAAAAAAAAGGAAACTAATGGGTAAAGTACCTTGTTACTGGAGAAGGCCTCAGAGGAACTTTGGTATCTGCCAATTCCCTGTTATAGAGAGAGAGGAAACCACCAATTTCCCCAGCACACTGCTGGATTTTTAAACCACAGATACAAATTAAACATGGAAGAGTATTTAAACAAGAACATCAACACCACAGCACATACAGTATGAAAAAAATCTGCATAAAAATAAGCCAGAAGCTTCACCAGCAAGCTTTGCCTACTGAAGAAGTGGTGGAACAGCCGAGTTATCACTGCCAGTTTATCACTCCAAATTCCTACAGTCATTTTCCGCTCGATTAAGTCAATCGCCCTAAGTACTTCCACTGGGAGGCAGACTCTGCTTCCCATCCCAACCCAAGGCACTCACCAGAATGGTTTCATGTGCTGTTTTCTACTACAAAACACAGCCTAAGATCAGCTCTCCAGTTTGTGGGAAATCTGAAATGCTAAGGCATGAACAGTTCTGGCTTGTTTGTTTCTTAGAAAGCAGAACAAAAATAGACAGTCTGCTGCCATACATTCAGTGTGGTTTGTACTGTATCCCAGTCATGTATTCAGTAGATCAGAACAACAAAAAAAAAAAACACTAACAAAACAATCCCACACATTTTTAACTGTAAAGGTGCTTCAGTATTTTTTTCTCCAGCAGAAGCTATACATGCAGAAAATTGTTCTTATTTCCTTTTAGATGAATTTTTGTTCATGCAGTGCCACAGTAAGAATTATTACCCATTATCCTATATTCACTTTTCAAAAAATACCAGGTGGTCAGGTCCAAAATCTGGTAAACCTGTATATTTATGTTGTCTTTGCCTTCTCTGTTTAACATTTCTTCTCTATTTGATGGGATTTTGCTATGGATAACCCTTGACCCTGATGCTGGCTCATTATCTGTTGTGCAATGTCAATTCACACCCCAAGATGAGCTATTTCATTTCTTTTTTCTAATTTGCACAAAGTAGGAATCTAGCTGTAACCCCACAAAGTCAGCAAAGCTTTACACTAGTTACACATTTTACCAAGGGCATCAGTGTTCCTTGGTTACAAACTAAAAACACAGCTTTTTCACTAATTAGTGCTCCAACCCCTATTCACTAGTTATCTCTCTCACTACTCCTGCTAATTAGTCCACATGCACAGCTCTTCTCTGCACTGGAGCCAGGGGTCTGCTTTGAGCAGGTAATCAATGTGTTGGTGGCTGTGAACACCCCTGCCAAAATCACCTTTCCCCAGTGACTGTTCAGTCCTGCTGACCTCACTCCTGGTGGCTCTTGTCCAGACAGCCCTTTCATCTTGGGATTTTGTGCTCCCCTTCCCTGAAAACAGATTAGCCAAGATTACAAGTCTCTATCAGGTTTCACAATGCAATTAATCATAGCTGCCTACCTATAGCTACTGATTAACATCAAAACAACTGCACAATTCAGTTCAAATCTTGAGGGACCCAATAACCTTACACCAGAAGCTCCTGAAGAACATACTCAGGTAACAAAACAAATCTAAGAGAACAAAATGAAGATAGACTTCACAAGAAAAGGAGTGAAAATTCCAAGTCTTTAGATGAATTTCTCACAAGAAAAATATCAGCCAGATGAACAATACATGTAAGAGGAATGTTATGATACATTTCAAAGCAAGAAAGATAGCCACAGCATGATCTAAGCTATCAAAGTGATAAAGTGGGATGTTTCACCATTTAATTTGAAAAGCTAAGCTGGTGGCATTTTCAATACACTTTCTCTTTTGAAGTATAAATACATTCTCAGGTTCCAATTACTTGGGGTTTTGCTAGGTTTGGTTTGTTGTTGTTGGCTTTTTTTAGACATCATCATTGTGTCCAGTAATCTACAGCAATTTACTACAAAAATAAATGTAGTTAAGGAGTTCCTACGAGAATATCTCCTTTTCTCATACCCCATGCTTTCCACTGTAGTGCCTCAAACTCCAGAATAGGAACAATCCCTCTCCTCTGGCCTACAATGGAAGTCACAAGTCCTTCAGAAAGGATCACTACCTTACTAAGGAAAGACTACTGTTTCCAAGCCACGTGCGCGGTTCAGATTGTGCTATCCAACATTCACTCTCAGTACAAGGAAGAGATCCCCCGCAAGCCACACAGCAGAAAAACAACGGGAATGCAATTTATAGAAATCACAGCCCTAGCAAGTCTTGCCTCAAGCCAACACTCACACAGGATTCACTGAGAGTTTCAGAGTTCATAGACTGAACCTCTCTGTAAGGACTTAGCAAGACATCTCAAAAGCAGTGTCTCACTCCAGCAGCAATATAAATGCAGAAAATAACCTGTGGAGCTTTTCCTGAGCTCAAATACAAAGAGAAAAATGAAATTTACTCTAAGGTCTGGGTATATGTAATTTTCACTTTTGCTAACTTTACCTCTACCACAGGTTATAAGCCTAGTCTCAAAAACACAGTAATCTGCTTCTTAGATTGCTTACAGTGGTGTCTGTGAAACCACATGTCCTAAACACCCAGCTCTACAGATGATTAAACTTGACTCTTAAGCTGGTTTAACAGAAATACTTTGCTTAAAATTTAAGGTGTATGTCCACACAACTTTTCTCCTACAATGACCAGAAACTGCCTCCCTCCTAGTATTTTTTAGGACATGAAAAATTACTTCACTTAACTTCAGATTTCAAAAACTCCAACTAAACCAAACCAATTTATAAGACACCAAAAATGCAGCACACACAATCAGGAGAAATGGGACTTCAACAAATATTTCCTGAAGATACAAGAATAACACCTAAACTCCAAATTACCAAAAGTAACTGAAAAGCCTGGACACCACAGCAAAACCACTGACCAATCAAGCACTTGATGAAATCTGGAGAAGACTACCAGAGAAGATTTTGGCTGTTAATGCTTCGGCCTCACTCCTCCATGTATTTATGGAGAGACAGCACACTTTGCACTCAACAAGTTGTGGGGTGACTGATGGGAAGTCCCACAAAAGGCTGAGCTACAGAAAAACAAGCAGGCTATTTCTCTGCAAGCTGCTTTGTATGATATTTATTTCTCTTGGCTGCTCTAACATTCTAGACACAGTGGGGAATATGGTATTACAAAAGAAAGAAACAACCAAGGAGAAAGAAAATATTTCAAATTCAGTGTTTTCCTAAAAAGTTTTACATCTATACTGCTTGGGGAAAAATACTCTTTTGTTCAAAATCCAGCACTACAATTTATTTAAACATGGCATAAAGAAGTCTACCCTGCTCATTTGAGTCATCATTCTATTTTCTAGCTTTAGAAGTAACAGAATATCAGAACAACCTCTTTCCTCCATCACATTGGAACAAATATCCTTTTCTTTCCTTTTGTCACTCTTCCTTTTGTAAGCAAAGCAAAGCAGGATCAGTCATGAACATGCTCAACAATTGCATAACTCGAAGCAAACACAGAACAAGGTCTCATTAAATTAGAAGCCATTTTATTCCCTGAGAAGAGGCATTACACAAGCGTGGTTCTCAGCTCCAAGTCCTTATGTGTCACCCTTAAAAATAAAATTTACAAACACAGATGGTGATAATCAGAGGACAATATCTAGTGCCCACAGTTGTGTTCAGAATGAGATGAAGGTGAGGAAGTAACTACATCCTCCCAGGAGATCACTCAAGTCAGTAGCTCAGAATCAGTACACAAATATTACGTAGGTAGACGGAGGTTGTGGTAGAAGGGAATCCGGTTTTTCTCTTTGGGAAATCGAACACACCCTTAGACTCTGATTGTGTAAACATGACCAAAACTGAGGTATGTGTCTGGGTAGAGCATTCACTGCTCATCTGCAAGAACACTGACCTTTTTTTAAAAAGAAAGGTGCCACAGTATCAACAGCATTTGTAGAAGTTTTGTGAATACTCAGGCAAAATTATTTCGTCTGTCATATACAGATGTCAACATTAGATTAATACAATTTCACAATTTAGATGTCCAGAACAAGCTATTAAAAATTTCTAGAAGAATATAAATATCTCACCTGTTTCACGAGCTGCTAACATTTCAAACACCAAGGGAAATACATCTTGCTTTAAAAAAAACAAAACCCCAAAGAATCATGAAATATTAAGTTAATGACGTAATTAAAATATATGCAGTTTCAACCACTGTACTCTTAGAATCTGTTCTCTTAGATGTATATGCATTTACAGATGAACAAAAACGAAGTCAGGGTAGCAGATGTGTCAGTGCTTTCACAAGCTGGACCTGACCACAACTGCATTTGCGACTGTGTAACAAAGAAATTGGGTAGTAGACTATTTTTTCTTAACTATTACTGATTTTATCAGTAAATTACAGATTTAAATTTTTTTGGGTGTCTGTTTTACCTAGCTTTCCTGATCAAAAACCCTCACCCCACCTTCCAACGCCCGCTAACAGCCTTGGCTTGGTGACCTGGACATTCCCACACGAGCCCACAGCCCTGCTACACCCGCTGGGAAGTGGATTTGTGCCTTGTTCTTGAAAGTATTGGATGTTACCAGGTTAAGCCTTTTGTGCAGATTGCAAGAAAAGCAGGTAAGAATCTCCATAAGCATCTTCCCCCCTCAAGAAAGGTGGAAAAATAAATCTACACAGTTTTCAATGCTGCAGAATTGGAAAATGTTTTCTATGCATCTCAAAGTTATCCATTAGGAAAAGCATTTCTATATTCACAGAACAACACAGTGCAGCAATACTTCATCAGGACAATTAAACTGCAGCTGTAAATGCCTGGAAAGTTCTGTTACCAGGGCTTTACAAGTCATTTGTGGACTTACTGCTGGGACAGACCAAACCCAGTTTACCACACATATAACCAAGCTCCCTGCCTGAGCACTCCTGGGACAGCTGTCTCCCCTGTGTGCCTGCTAGCTTTACCTCTCTTCAGCACTCAAACAAATATCCTAACAGAATCTGCAGACACAAAAAAGCAGATGTTTCTCTACACAACCATTTAAATTCTCCTGCAAGCTATCACCTCTTGCTTCTTCTGTTCCATTCTGTCTTTCTCCATACCCAAATACTTAAAACTAACTATACATACCACTTTAAGAAACACAAATTACCAACTCATCTAAATTAGGAAAGTTAACCACAGATGCTCCACTTTCCAGTTTTTCATAGGTTCTCACAGAACGAGCTCATAAACAATGATTTTAATAATGGTTTGGTGAAACAACTGCACCTCCAGCGTTTCACTATCTTCTCAGACTGTCTTAAAACTTTGGTTGGTAGTAATTTTTCTGTATGTCTGATCCATAGACCTCATGTCACCATCACACTGATGTATGACCCTGCACTAATTGCTCAAGAAGCACAGCACCCATGCAAACCTCTCCTGCGGATGGCCAAGATTTCTCACATGTCTGAGCAAACAGCCTGAACAAAGTGAGGCATGTTCCATACCCTGTCCTGGAGGGCAGTAAGGCAAAGGCAGATGCCTTTAAAGATGCAGCAAAAGTGTTTTTACTGAGTTTTCAGTTTGCAGTATCCTTATGTAGTTCTCTCAGGAGAGAATGTTCTACAGACAGAAATGTAACACAGCAAATAGATGGGGAGCCAAACCTGGCAGTACTGTACTAGTGCCATTCTGCTGCTTCAGTAAGTCTCTTCTAATCTTCATTATCTATTTTCACTTTCTAGGTCTCATACTGATTTCATCTAATAGATACAAGCATTCAAGGTAAGGATATTTACACAGCTCTAAAAACCAAAGCATTAGATTTACACTTTTATAGTCAATAGGAGATGGTTTGCAGTTTGTTCTTGCTGTTTTCACTATCAACAGTGAAAATCCTTAAGCCAGTAACTGCAATAATCTTATCTTCCCTGCTTTTCAGGAAACTCATTGGACTGAGAAGCCAGCTTGTCCCATTTCAGATATAATTAACTAGCACGTTTTTGTAATTAACAAGGCTTGTGAACACTGAGGGAAAGACAACTTCCCAATGCACAGGTAGTAACAAATTGCCACTTCCTCCTCTGGGATTACTGACACCTTAAGTCAGCACCTTGACTTCCCATGAGCTGCAGGCTCACTTAAGGAATGAGAGGACTCCTTCCCAAGGATCAGTAAAAGACTCTTGCAAGTTTTGAATCGAGTTGATTCAAATCTTTTTGAATTGTGAACAACTTTTCTCTAATTGGCTCAGAAGGTAATACAGGATTAGATTTGAGTTTCCTTCAGAGTTGCACTTCCCCCCCCCCCCC